CCCGAGGCCCTGGTCCCCAGGATTACTGGGTGCTACTCGCTCACAGCGCACTTACCCCAGCAGCCTGTTGCAGGCTTGAGTGGGGTGGCTTCTGTGTGCGAGACTCGCCCCTAATTATGACACAATCACAGCTGATTTAAAGCTTTCGTGACTGCAGTAAATCATATCCTTAGTTCTTTCGGTAAAGTCACGTTGAAGGGAAACAGCGAAATAATAAATAAATATAAAACAATACAAAATTCTCAACGACGTTTCGACCATAACAAACCAACACACCTGAAGATGACCGTTTGTGTTATGGTCGAAACGTCGTGAGAATTTTTTCTTGTTTTATATATATTTTATTATTTTGTTGTTTCCCTTCAACGTGACTTTACCGAGAGAACTAAGGATATGATCACAGCTCTCTCGACCACCGGACGGGTTCCGCAGAGGATCGGAAGGATGTCCCTTGGGTGGGTCCTGATGTTGCAGTGCCTCAAATCCTAGAAGTAGCTGTGACCCCCTGTGTGAGGGGCTGGCCGAGGTGCCATCTGTGTGAGGAAGTACCGAGGGCGATCCGGAGTCTTGAGACCAGGAAAGGCGGCACCGGGCAGAGATGATCTCCCAAGCGAAATGCTGAGGGAGGGTTGGCGTTTGTGCACAGACTGCCCTACATGACATCATAACAACGGGCTGGACACTGGACGGGTTCCGCAGGATTGGAAAGGATGCCCTGGTGGTCCCCCTTCTTAAGAAGGGGGACCGCACAGACTGTAACAACTACAGGGGCATGTCACTCCTCAGTGTGCCGGGAAAGGTCCTGGCAAGGATTATTCAACATCGCCTTGCCAGGCATGCTGAGGAGAGGCTTGCGGAGCCCCAATGCGGTTTCAGGAAAGGGCGGTCCTGCACAGATGCCATATTTTCTGTCCGTCTGCTACAGCAGAGGTGTAGGGAATTCCAACAAGAACTACATCTCTGCTTTATTGACCTGGTCAAGGCCTTTGATACCATCCGTAGGCCTGGGCTCTGGGTTGTTTCTTCGTGCTTTCGGAGTCCCTGACCCCCTGCTCACGATCATTAAGGACCTTCATGATGGTGAGCGGGCCCGGGTAAAACTACGTGGCCGGGAGTCGGAGCCATTCCCTGTACACCTTGGGGTGCGACAGGGATGTTCCTCTGGCTCCCACACATTGTTTAACATCTTGTTGGTAGTGATGGTGCTGGTGATGATGTTGGTAGCGATGGTGGGAGAATTGGTGATGCGGGCACTCCAGCGATCTTGTGGTAGTGGCGGTGATGATGATGGTAGAGATGGCGGTGATGTTGGTAGCGATGGCGGTGTTATGGTGATGGCGGTGGTGATGTTGATGATGTTGGCAGCGATGGCGGTGTTATGGTGATGGCAGCGGCGGTGATGATGATGTTGGTACCGATGGTGGCGGCGGTGATGTTGGTAGCGATGACGGTGTTATGGTGATGGCAGCGGCGGTGATGATGTTGGTAGCGATGGCGGTGTTATGGTGATGGCGGCGGCGGTGATGATGATGTTGGTACCGATGGTGGCGGCCGTGATGTTGGTAGCGATGGCGGTGTTACGGTGATGTTGGTAGCGATGGCGGTGTTACGGTGATGGCAGCGGCGGTGATGTTGGTAGCGATGGCGGTGTTACGGTGATGTTGGTAGCGATGGCGGTGTTATGTTGATGGTAGCGATGGCGGTGATGATGTTGGTAGCGATGGCGGTGTTATGGTGATGGCAGCGGCGGCGATGATGATGTTGGTAGCGATGGTGGCGGCGGTGATGTTGGTAGCGATGGCGGTGTTATGGTGATGGCAGCGGCGGCGATGATGATGTTGGTAGCGATGGCGGTGTTATGTTGATGGCGGCGGCGGCGGTGATGTTGGTAGCGATGGCGGTGTTATGGTGGCGGCGGTGATGATGATGTTGGTAGCGATGCGGTGTTATGGTGATGGCGGCGGCGGCGATGATGATGTTGGTAGCGATGGCGGTGTTACGGTGATGGCGGCGGCGGTGATGATGATGTTGGTAGCGATGGTGGTGTTGATGATGTTGGTAGCGATGGCGGTGTTATGGTGATGGCGGCGGCGGCGATGATGATGTTGGTAGCGATGGCGGTGATGGCGGAAGAGACGGTGACGCGGGCGATTGAGCGTTGTTGTTATGGTGGCAGTGGTGGTAGTGATGGCACGGGAATCGTTGACACGGGCGCGAGATCGGCGCTACGGTGATGTTACGGTGATGTTGCGGTGACGACGGCGGCGGCGGTGATGATGTGGTGGTGATAGCAGCGGCGGTGATGTAGGTAGATAAGGCGGCGGCGGCGATGATGATGTTGGGGTGGTGATGGCGGCGGTGGCGGTGTCCGTGGTGATGGCGGGAGGTGGTGGCGTCGATGTTTGTTAGCGTTTCCGACGCTACGCGCACGCCACTCGTGTGGAGATGGCGATGTTGGGCCGCGGTGGTGATGGCGGTCCAGTGTTTCGTGATGATGATGATGATGTTAACGACGATGATGATGATTACGATGATGACGATGATGATGATGATGATGGCGATGGGTGGCCAGGCGCCGAGCGTGATGGGTACGGGTTGCTGTTTGTTAGCGTTAAAAACGCACACACACACACACGCGCGTGTGTGGGAGCTGGCGATGTCGGTAGCGGTGGCGATGGTGTGCTTACAGTTTCGTGATGGCGATGTTGGCGTTAGTGGGCAGACCTTGCCTTGGCGCTGTTCTGCTAGCGCTACTAAACTTTAAAACTAAACAAATTTTTTTTTTTTTATTGTTCCTGCTGGCGAGGCTCCTCATCGGATAGACAAGCGGTGACTGGACAATCGTCGCACGGAATGATAACAGCCCGACCACAGTGGCTGACATCGTCAACGTGTGGGAGAATTCCTAGCGGCAACCAGGCGCTTGAATCGTGCGACGTCGATTCTAACAATCTTAAAGCGGCCACGGGGAGAGAGACGCAGACTCCGAATATGCAGCAGCTGCGTACCGGGCAACATCTCCGAGGCACTGTGATGATGATCGTGATCTAACCCACGACCTGCGTACCAGGCGAGGTAGTCAACATCTCGCAGCCAACGTGGTTGATGATGATAGTGATCGAACCCACGACCTCCTGCGTACCGGGCGAGGTAGCCAACATCTCACAGCCACCTGTGATGATGATGATGATAGAGATCTAACCCACGACCTCCTGCGTACCCTAACCCACGACCTCCTGCGTACCGGGCGAGGTAGTCAACATCTCACGGCCACCTGTGGTGATGATGATCGTGATCGAACCCACGACCTCCTGCGTACCAGGCGAGGTAGCCAACATCTCCGAGCCACCGTGATGATGATGATAGAGATCTAACCCAAGGTCTCCTGCGTACCGGGCGAGGTAGCCAACATCTCCCAGCCACCTGTGGTGATGATGATAGTGATCGAACCCACGACCTCCTGCGTACCGGGTGAGGTAGCCAACATCTCCGAGCCACCGTGGTGATGATGATAGAGATCTAACCCAAGGTCTCCTGCGTACCGGGCGAGGTAGCCAACATCTCCGAGCCACCGTGGCGTCCACACAGCGTTGGTGCCGGCAGACGCACGCACTCACTCACGCGTGATGTCGGCGGTGTTCGTAAGGGTGGCCGCTGCAGTTTTGTCGCGATGGCGATGATGATGTCGGCGGCGATGATGATGGCGGCGATGATGATGGCGGCGATGATGATGTCGGCGGCGATGATGATGTCGGCGGTGATGATGATGTCGGCGGCGATGATGATGTCGGCGGCGATGATGATGTCGGCGATGATGATGTCGGCGGTGATGATGTCGGCGGTGATGATGTCGGCGGTGATGATGTCGGCGATGATGATGTCGGCGATGATGATGTCGTCGTCGGCGGCGGATGATGATGATGTCGACGGCGATGATGATGTCGGCGATGATGATGATGTCGGCGGCGATGATGATGATGTCGGCGGCGATGATGATGATGATGATGTCGGCGGCGATGATGATGATGTCGGCGGCGATGATGATGATGTCGGCGGCGATGATGATGATGTCGGCGGTGGCGGGGGGGCGATGGCGGGGGGCGATGTCCACGGCGACGTTGATGGCGGTGACGGGAGATGCCTGCGCTGTTCGCCGCGACGTTGCCGGGCGGCGGCAGACCGTGCCGTGGCGGTGTTAACCGTGCGAACCACCTTGTGGCGGCGGCGGCGGTGATGTTGGTGTGATGGTGGCGATGTTGGTGTGACGGTGGTGATGTTGGTGTGACGGTGGCGATGTTGGTGTGACGGCGGTGGCGATGTTGGTGTGACGGTGGCGATGTTGGTGTGACGGTGGCGATGTTGGTGTGACGGCGGTGATTTTGGTGTGACGGTGGCGGTGATGTTGGTGTGACGGCGGTGATGTTGTGACGGCGACGGTGGCGATGTTCGTGTACCGGTGGGGGCGATGGCGATGCTGCCGATGTTTTGTTGATGCCGTGACGGTGACGATGTTGATGACGGGCGGACGATGGTCGAGGTGGCCAGGCTTGGGGGTCGGTGATGGCGCGGCGATGGTGCCGACTCGGTTCGATGCGATGGTTGTGCTGACGCGTGTGTCTGTGTGTGTCTGTGTGTGTCTGTGTGTGTGTCTGTGTGTGTGTGCGTGTGTCTGTGTGTGTGTCTGTGTGTGTGTGTGTGCGTCTGTCTGTGTGTGTGTGCGTCTGTGTGTGTGTGTGTCTGTGTGTGTGTCTGTGTGTGTGTGTGTGTCTGTGTGTGTGTGTGTCTGTGTGTGCGTCTGTGTGTGTGTCTGTGTGTGCGTCTGTGCGTCTGTCTGTGTGTGCGTCTGTGCGTCTGTCTGTGTGTGTGTGTGTCTGTGTGTGTCTGTGTGTGTCTGTGTGTGTGCGTCTGTCTGTGTGTGTCTGTGTGTGTGCGTCTGTCTGTGTGTGTGTCTGTGCGTCTGTCTGTGTGTGTGTCTGTTCGTCTGTCTGCGTGACTCTCAGCTCCCAGAGATCCGAGCATGGGCCGTGAGCAACGCGACCACGGTGAGTGCTCGCTACTCACCTCGCCACTCACCTCGCTACTCACCTCGCCGCTCACCTCGCTACTCACCTCGCCGCTCACCTCGCCACTCACCTCGCTACTCACCCCGCTGCTCACCTCGCCGCTCACCTCGCCGCTCACCTTGCTGCTCACCTCGCCGCTCACCTCGCCGCTCACCTCGCTACTCACCCCCACTCCACTACTCACCCCCACTCCGCTACTCACTGCCACGCCGCTTAGACTATATATGCAACAGCAGGCATCGTCAGGGTCGGGATCTAACCCACGACCTTCTGTGTACCAGGCGAGGTAGTCAACATCTCCCTGCCACCGTGGTGATGATAGTGATCTAACCCACGACTTCCTGCGTACCAGGCGAGGTAGTCAACATCTCTCAGCCACCGTGGTGATGATGATAGTGATCTAACCCACGACCTCCTGCGTACCGGGCGAGGTAGTCAACATCTCAGCCACCGTAGTGATGTTGGAGATCTAACCCACGACCTCCTGCGTAGCGGGCGAGGTAGTCAACATCTCCCAGCCAACGTGGTGATGATGCAGATCTAACTCACGACCTCCTGCGTACCAAGCGAGGTAGTCAGCATCTCCCAGCCACCGTGGTGATGAGAGTGATCTAACCCACGACCTCCTGCGTTACCGGGCGAGGTTATCAACATCTCCCAGCCACCGTGGTGATGATAGTGATCTAACCCACGACCTCCTGCGTACCAGGCGAGGTAGTCACCATCGTGGTGATGGTAGTGATGTAACCCACGACCTCCTGCGTACCAGGCGAAGTAGTCAACATCGTGGTGATGATAGTGATCTAACCCACGACCTCCTGCATATCGGGCGAGGTAGTCAGCATCTCCCAGCCACCGTGGTGATGATAGTGATGTAACCCACGACCTCCTGCGTACCGGGCGAGGTAGTCAACATCTCCCAGCCACCGTGGCTATGATGATAGTGATCTAACCCACGACCTCCTGCGTACCGGGCGAGGTAGTCAACATCTCCCAGCCACCGTGGCTATGATAGTGATCTAACCCACGACCTCCTGCATACCAGGCGAGGTAGTCAACATCTCCCAGCCACCGTGGTGATGATGGAGATCTAACCCACGACCTCCTGCGTACCGGGCGAGGTAGTCAACATCTCCCAGCCACCGTGGCGATGATGATAGTGATCTAACCCACGACCTCCTGCGTACCAGGCGAGGTAGTCAACATCGTGGTGATGATAGTGATCTAACCCACGACCTCCTGCGTGCCAGGCGAGGTAGTCACCATGTCACCCCCTCCCCTCCACCACCAGGCGAGGTGGACAACTCTGAGAACAACACCATCTTCGTGCAGGGCCTGGGGGAAGAGATCACCGCAGAGGAGATAGCGGAGCACTTCAAGCAGGTCGGCGTCGTCAAGGTGGGTGGGGAGGGTCGGTGGGGAGGGTGGGTGGGTGAGTAGTTGGTGGGTGAGTGAGAGGGTGGGTGAGTGGGTGAGTGAGTGGTGAGTGAGAGCTGTTGTGTGGGTGGGTGAGTGAGTGGTGAGTGAGAGCTGTTGTGTGGGTGAGTGAGTGGTGAGTGAGAGCTGTGTGGGTGAGTGGTGAGTGAGATCTGTTGTGTGGGTGAGAGTGGTGAGTGAGATCTGTTGTGTGGGTGAGTGAGTGGTGAGTGAGATCTGTTGTGTGGGTGAGTGGTGAGTGAGTGGTGAGTGAGATCTGTTGTGTGGGTGAGTGAGTGGTGAGTGAGATCTGTATGGGTGAGTGAGTGGTGAGTGAGAGCTCTGTATGGGTGAGTGAGTGGTGAGTGAGATCTGTGTGGGTGAGTCAGTGGTGGGTGAGTGAGTGAGTGGTGAGATCTGTTGTGTGAGTGAGTGAGTGGTGAGTGAGATCTGTTGTGTGGGTGAGTGAGTGGTGAGTGAGTAGTGAGTGAGTGGTGAATGAGAGCTCTGTGTGGGTGAGTGAGTGGTGAGTGAGAGCTCTGTGTGGGTGAGTGAGTGGTGAGTGAGAGCTCTGTGTGGGTGAGTGAGTGGTGAGTGAGAGCTCTGTGTGGGTGAGTGAGTGGTGAGTGAGAGCTCTGTGTGGGTGAGTGAGTGGTGAGTGAGAGCTCTGTGTGGGTGAGTTAGTGGTGAGTGAGAGCTCTGTGTGGGGTGAGTGAGTGGTGAGTGAGAGCTCTGTGTGGGTGAGTGAGTGGTGAGTGAGAGCTCTGTGTGGGTGAGTGAGTGGTGAGTGAGAGCTCTGTGTGGGTGAGTGAGTGGTGAGTGAGAGCTCTGTGTGGGTGAGTGAGTGGTGAGTGAGAGCTCTGTGTGGGTGAGTGAGTGGTGAGTGAGAGCTCTGTGTGGGTGAGTGAGTGGTGAGTGAGAGCTCTGTGTGGGTGAGTGAGTGGTGAGTGAGAGCTCGGTGTGGGTGAGTGAGTGGTGAGTGAGAGCTCTGTGTGGGTGAGTGAGTGGTGAGTGACTACTGCTGCCGTACTGCTGCTGTACACCGCTGTACACCGCTATCGCCGTCAGATCAACAAGCGCACGGAGCGCCCCATGATCAACGTCTACACGGACCGCGAGACCGGCAGGCCCAAGGGCGAGGCGACCGTCTCCTTCGAAGACCCCCCCACAGCCAAGGCGGCCATCGAGTGGTTTGACGGTGAGGGGGGTGTGGAGTGCGTGGGGTGTGGGTGTGGGGTGTGTCGTTTGGGAGTGTACACGTGTCTACGTATGCATATAGGAATGTGTGTATATACGTGTGTGTGTGTATATACGTGTGTGTGTATGTGTCTGTGTGTGTATACGTGTGTGGGTGTGTCTGTGTGTAGGTGTGTGTGTATATACGTGTGTAGGTGTGTGTGTGTATATACGTGTGTGTGTGTATATGTGTGTGTATATACGTGTGTGTGTATATACGTGTGTAGGTGTGTCTGTGTGTGTATATATACGTGTGTAGGTGTGTCTGTGTGTGTATATACGTGTGTGTCTGTGTGTGTATACGTGTGTGGGTGTGTCTGTGTGTGTGTATATACGTGTGTGTCTGTATAGGTGTGTCTGTGTGTGTATAGGTGTGTCTGTGTGTGTGTGTATATACGTGTGTCTGTGTGTGTGTGTATATACGTGTGTGGGTGTGTGTCTGTGTGTGTATATACGTGTCTGTGTGTGTCTGTGTGTGTGTGTGTCTGTGTGTGTGTATATACGTGTGTAGGTGTGTGTGTGTATATATACGTGTGTGTATATACGTGTGTAGGTGTGTGTGTGTGTATATATACGTGTGTGTGTGTGTGTGTATATACGTGTGTAGGTGTGTGTGTGTATATATACGTGTGTAGGTGTGTGTGTGTATATATACGTGTGTGTGTATATACGTGTGTGGGTGTGTGTCTGTGTGTGTGTATATACGTGTGTGGGTGTGTCTGTGTGTGTATATACGTGTGTAGGTGTGTGTCTGTGTGTGTGTGTGTATACGTGTGTAGGTGTGTGTATATACGTGTGTAGGTGTGTGTGTATATACGTGTGTGGGTGTGTGTGTATATACGTGTGTGGGTGTGTGTCTGTGTGTGTGTATATACGTGTGTAGGTGTGTGTGTGTGTATATACGTGTGTGGGTGTGTGTCTGTGTGTGTGTATATACGTGTGTAGGTGTGTGTCTGTGTGTGTGTGTATACGTGTGTAGGTGTGTGTGTGTGTGTATACGTGTGTGGGTGTGTGTCTGTGTGTAGCGGTTAGCGCTACGGACCTGGCGACCCGGGTTCGATTCCCGCTCACGGCCAACACCGGTGACGATTATCTGAACCGGTCCCGGGGCCTCCCCTAGGTCGACTCGGCCTCAAATGAGTACCTGGTGCGGTGTGCAGTTAAACATCGCCACTTGGGGGAGACAAAGGCGGTCGGGCGTGGTAGCTGGCCACCCACACCTCGTGTACCGTTACCGGCCTTCATAGGTGCTCGCTAACAGCACTTGCCCCTACAGTCTGTTAAGGCTATACGGGGGATCTTTGTTTGTCTGTGTGTGTGTAGATACGTGTGTGTATATAATTGTGTGTGTGTATAATTGTGTGTGTATATAATTGTGTGTGTGTGTATATAATTGTGTGTGTGTGTATATAATTGTGTGTGTGTGTATATAATTGTGTGTGTGTGTATATAATTGTGTGTGTGTATATAATTGTGTGTGTGTATATAATTGTGTGTGTGTATATAATTGTGTGTGTGTATATAATTGTGTGTGTGTATATAATTGTGTGTGTGTGTATATAATTGTGTGTGTGTGTATATAATTGTGTGTGTGTGTATATAATTGTGTGTGTGTATATATAATTGTGTGTGTGTGTATATAATTGTGTGTGTGTATATAATTGTGTGTGTGTGTATATAATTGTGTGTGTGTGTATATAATTGCGTGTGTATATAATTGTGTGTGTGTGCCGTTCCCAGGCAAGGAGTTCAATGGCAAGAAGCTCAAGGTGGTGTTTGCGCGACGCCGCACGGACATGGGCATGCGCGGGGGCATGGGCGGCCGGGGCATGCCCATGGGACGGGGAGGTAACTCGCTCGCCCACATGCTCACCCGCTCGCTCGCCCACTCGCTCACCCGCTCGCTCACCCGCTCGCTCAACCACCCGCTCGCCCACTCGCTCACCCGCTCGCTCACCCACTTTCTCACCCGCTTTTAGCTCACCCACTTGATCGCTCACCCACCTACTAGCTCACCCACTTGATCACTCACCCACCCACTCACTCACCCACTACTAGCTCACCCACTCACTCACTCACTACTCTTTCACCCCCTCGATCACTCACCCACCCACTCGCTCGCCCACTACTCTCTCACCCACTCGTTCACTCACTCACCCACTCACTCACCCACTCACTCACCCACTACTCTCTCACCCACTACTCTCTCACCCACTCATTCACTCACCCACCCACCCACTACTCTCTCACCCCCTCGTTCACTCACTCACCCACTCACTCACTACTCTCTCACTCACTCACCCACCCACTCACTCACTCGCCCACTACTAGCTCACCCACTCGTTCACTTGCCCACCCACTCACTCACTCGCCCACTACTAGCTCACCCACTCGTTCACTTGCCCACCCACTCGCTCGCCCACTACTCTCTCACCCACTCGTTCACTCACTCACCCACCCACTACTCTCTCACCCACTCGTTCACTCACCCACCCACTCGCTCGCCCACTCGTTCACTCACTCACCCACCCACTACTCTCTCACCCACTCTTTCACTCACCCACCCACTCGCTCGCCCACTACTCTCTCACCCCCTCGTTCACTCACTCACCCACCCACCCACTCACTCACTCGCCCACTCACTCTCTCACCCACTCACCCACTCACTCACTCACCCACTACTCTCTCACCCCATCGTTCACTCACTCACCCACCCACTCACTCACCCACTACTCTCTCACCCGCTCGTTCACTCACCCACTACCCTCTCACCCACTCGTTCACTCACCCACCCACTCGCTCGCCCACTCGCTCACCCACCACTCACCCACTACTCTCTCACCCGCTCGTTCACTCACCCACTACTCTCTCACCCCCTCGTTCACTCACCCACTCACTCACTCACCCACTACTCTCTCACCCACCCACTCACTCACTCACCCACTACTCTCTCACCCCCTCGTTCACTCGCCCACCCACTCACTCGCCCACTCGCTCACCCACCACTCACTCACTCGATCACTCACCCACCCATTCACTCGCCCACTCGCTCACCCACCACTCACCCACTCGATCACTCACCCACCCACTCACTCGCCCACTCGCTCACCCACCACTCACCCACTCGATCACTCATCCACCCACCCACTACTCTCTCACCCACTCGTTCACTCACCCACCCACTCGCTCGCCCACTCGTTCACTCACTCACCCACCCACTACTCTCTCACCCACTCTTTCACTCACCCACCCACTCGCTCGCCCACTACTCTCTCACCCCCTCGTTCACTCACTCACCCACCCACTCACTCACTCGCCCACTCACTCTCTCACCCACTCACCCACTCACTCACTCACCCACTACTCTCTCACCCCATCGTTCACTCACTCACCCACCCACTCACTCACCCACTACTCTCTCACCCGCTCGTTCACTCACCCACTACCCTCTCACCCACTCGTTCACTCACCCACCCACTCGCTCGCCCACTCGCTCACCCACCACTCACCCACTACTCTCTCACCCGCTCGTTCACTCACCCACTACTCTCTCACCCCCTCGTTCACTCACCCACTCACTCACCCACTACTCTCTCACCCACCCACTCACTCACTCACCCACTACTCTCTCACCCCCTCGTTCACTCGCCCACCCACTCACTCGCCCACTCGCTCACCCACCACTCACTCACTCGATCACTCACCCACCCATTCACTCGCCCACTCGCTCACCCACCACTCACCCACTCGATCACTCACCCACCCACTCACTCGCCCACTCGCTCACCCACCACTCACCCACTCGATCACTCATCCACCCACCCACTCACTCACCTACTCACTCACCCACTACTCTTTCACCCCCTCGTTCACTCACCCACCCACTCACTCGCTCACCCACTACCCTCTCACCCACTCGATCACTCACCCACCCACTCACTCGCCCACTCGTTCACTCACCCACCCACTCACTCGCCCACTCGCTCACCCACCACTCGCCCACTCGATCACTCACCCACCCACCCACTCACCCACTCGCTCACCCACCACTCGCCCACTCGATCACTCATCCACCCACTCACCCACTCACTCACCCACTACTCTTTCACCCCCTCGTTCACTCACCCACCCACTCACTCACCCACTACCCTCTCACCCACTCGTTCACTCACCCACCCACTCACTCGCCCACTCGCTCACCCACCACTCACCCACTCGATCACTCATCCACCCACCCACTCACTCACCCACTCACTCACCCACTACTCTTTCACCCCCCTCGTTCACTCACCCACCCACTCACTCGCTCACCCACTACCCTCTCACCCACTCGTTCACTCACCCACCCACTCACTCGCCCACTCGCTCACTCACCACTCACCCACTCGATCACTCACCCACTCGTTCACTCACCCACTCGATCACTCACCCACCCACTCACTCGCCCACTACCCTCTCACCCACTCGATCACTCACCCACCCACTCACTCGCCCACTACCCTCTCACCCACTCGATCACTCACCCACCCACTCACTCGCCCACTACCCTCTCACCCACTCGATCACTCACCCACCCACTCACTCGCCCACTCGCTCACCCACCACTCGCCCACTCGATCACTCCCCCACCCACCCACTCGCCCACTCGCTCACCCACCACTCGCCCACTCGATCACCCACCCACCCACCCACGAGCTCACCCTCTTGTTGTTGTTGTTTGTGTGCGTTGCAGGCCCCGGCTGGGGGGGTCGTGACCTTGGCGGTGGCTTTGGGGGCCGCGGTGGGGGGCCCAACACCCCCCACAGGGAGGGAGACTGGCAATGCCCCAACCCGTGAGGGCAAACCGCCTCAGACTCACTCACACAGACTCACTCACTCACTCAGACTCACTCATTCACTTAGACTCACTCAGACTCACTCACTCAGACTCACACAGATTCACTTACACAGACTCACTCACACAGACTCACTCAGACTCACTCACTCACACAGACTCACTCACTCAGACTCACTCACTCACTCACACAGACTCACTCACTCACACAGACTCACTCACTCAGACTCACTCAGACTCACACAGATTCACTTACACAGACTCACTCACACAGACTCACTCACACAGACTCACACAGACTCACCCACTCACTCAGACTCACTCACTCAGACTCACTCATTCACACAGACTCACTCACTCACACAGACTCACTCACACAGACTCACTCAGACTCACTCATTCACACAGACTCACTCACACAGACTCACTCACACAGACTCACTCACACAGACTCACTCACTCACACAGACTCACTCACACAGACTCACTCACTTAGACTCACTCACTCACTCAGACTCACTCACTCAGACTCACTCACTCAGACTCACTCAGACTCACTCAGACTCACTCACTCACACAGACTCACTCAGACTCACTCAGACTCACTCACTCACTCAGACTCACTCACTCACTCAGACTCACTCAGACTCACTCACTCACTCAGACTCACTCACTCACTCAGACTCACTCACACAGACTCACACAGACTCACTCACTCAGACTCACTCAGACTCACTCACTCACTCAGACTCACTCACTCAGACTCACTCACTCACTCAGACTCACTCACACAGACTCACACAGACTCACTCAGACTCACTCACTCAGACTCACTCACTCACTCAGACTCACTCAGACTCACTCACTCACTCAGACTCACACAGACTCACTCACTCACTCAGACTCACTCACACAGACTCACACAGACTCACTCAGACTCACACACTCACTCACTCAGACTCACTCATTCACACAGACTCACTCACTCACTCAGACTCACTCACTCAGACTCACTCACTCAGACTCACTCACTCAGACTCACTCACTTAGACTCACTCAGACTCACTCACTCAGACTCACTCACTCACTCAGACTCACTCACTCACTCAATCACACAGACTCACTCACTCAGACTCACTCACTCAGTCTCACTCACTCACTCATTCACTTAGACTCACTCACTCAGACTCACTCACTCAGACTCACTCACTCACACAGACTCACTCAGACTCACTCACTCACTCTCACTCACTCAGACTCACTCAGACTCACTCACTCAGACTCACTCATTCACACTCACTCACTCAGACTCACTCACTCAGACTCACTCACTTAGACTCACACAGACTCACTTACTTAGACTCACTCAGACTCACTCACTTAGACTCACTCACTCAGACTCACGCACTCACTCTGACTCACTCACACAGACTCACTCACTTAGACTCACTCACTTAGACTCACTCACTTAGACTCACTCACTTAGACTCACTCACTCAGACTCACTCACTCACTGACTCACTCACACAGACTCACTCACTCACTCAGACTCACTCACTCAGACTCACTCACTCAGACTCACTCACTCACTCTGACTCACTCACTCTGACTCACTAACTCAGACTCACTCACTCAGACTCGCTCACTCACTCACTCAGACTCACTCACTCATGGACTCACTCATAGACTCACTCATGGACTCACTCATAGACTCACTCATAGACTCACTCATAAACTCACTCACTCATAGACTAACTCACTCATAAACTCACTCACTCATAGACTCACTCACTCACTCAGACTCACTCACTCATGGACTCACTCATGGACTCACTCATAGACTCACTCACTCATAGACTCACTCATAAACTCACTCACTCATAGACTAACTCACTCATAAACTCACTCACTCATAGACTCACTCACTCTGACTCACTCACACTCACTCGCACTCACTCGCACTCACTCAGACTCACGCAGACTCGCGTATACTCACTCAGACTCACTTGGAATCACTCAAGCAGACTCACTCGTGTACACACGCTCACTCGCTCGGACTCGCTCAACCACCTATTCACTCGCTCACCCATTCACTCACCCGCTCGCCCACTCACCCGCACACCCACTCACCCGCACACCCACTCGCCCACTCACCCACTCACCCGCACGCCCACTCACCCGCTCACCCGCTCACTCGCTCGCCCGCTCACCCACTCACTCGCTCACCCACCTGCTCACCCACTCACCCGCTCACTTGCTCACCCACCTGCTCACCCGCTCACTCACCCACTCACTCACTGACCCACTCACTCGCTCACCCGCTCACTCACCCGGGGTGTCCGTGCAGGGCGTGTGGCAACATGAACTTTTCGTGGCGTAACGAGTGCAACCGCTCGCCCGCTCACCCACTCGCTCACCCGCTCACTCGCCCACTCACCCGCTCACCCGCTCGCCCACTCACCCGCTCACCCGCTCACTCGCTCACCCACCCGCTCGCCCGCTCACCCGCTCACCTGCTCACTCACCCGGGGTGTCCGTGCAGGGCGTGTGGCAACATGAACTTTTCGTGGCGTAACGAGTGCACCCGCTCACCCACTCGCTCACCCACTCACCCACTCACCCGCTCGCCCACTCACCCGCTCACCAGCTCACCCACTCACTCACCCACTCGCTCACCCGCTCACTCACCCGTGGTGTCCGTGCAGGGCGTGTGGCAACATGAACTTTTCGTGGCGTAACGAGTGCACCCGCTCACCCACTCGCTCACCCACCCGCTCACCCACTCACCCGCTCGCCCGCTCACCTGCTCACCCGCTCACTCGCTCACCCACCCACTCACTCGCTCACCCACCCGCTCACCCACTCGCTCACCTGCTCACTCACCCGTGGTGTCCGTGCAGGGCGTGTGGCAACATGAACTTTTCGTGGCGTAACGAGTGCACCCGCTCACCCACTCGCTCGCCCACTCACCCACTCACCCACCCGCTCACTCACCTGCTCACCTGCTCACTCACCCGTGGTGTCCGTGCAGGGCGTGTGGCAACATGAACTTTTCGTGGCGTAACGAGTGCAACCAGTGCAAGGCACCACGACCAGACGGTGGCGGAGGTCCACCCATGATGGGAGGTGAGAGGCCTACACGGCGGTACACTCACACTGGTACACACACACTGGTACACACACACACTGTGGTACACACACAGTGTAGTACACACACACACTGTGGTACACACACACACTGTGGTACACACACAGTGTGGTACACACACACTGGTACACACTGTGGTACACACACACATTGTGGTACACTCACACTGTGGTACACACACACTATGGTACACACACACACTGTGGTACACACACACTGTAGTACACACACACACTGTGGTACACACACACACACACATTGTAGTACACACACACACACTGTGGTACTCACACACACTGTGGTACACACACTGTGTAGTACACACACACACTATGGTACACACACACTATGGTACACACACACTGTGGTACACACACACACACTGTGGTACACACACACTGTAGTACACACACACACACTGTGGTACACACACTGTAGTACACACACACATTGTGGTACACACACACACCAGGGTACACACACACACACTGTGGTACACACACACACTGTAGTACACACACACACTGTGGTACACACACACTGTGGTACACACACATTGTGGTACACACACACTGTGGTACACACACACACTGTGGTACACACACACACACTGTGGTACACACACACTGTGGTACACACACACACTGTGGTACACACACACACACTGTGTTACACACACACTGTGGTACACACACTGTGGTACACACACACACACATTGTGGTACACACACACACTGTAGTACACACACACTATGGTACACACACACACTGTGGTACACACACACACACTGTGGTACACACACTGTGGTACACACACACTGTGGTACACACACACTGTGGTACACACACACTGTGGTACACACACACTGTGGTACACACACTGTGGTACACACACACACTGTGGTACACACACACACTGTGGTACACACACATACACACTGTGGTACACACACACACACACTGTGGTACACACACACACTGTGGTACACACACACTGTGGTACACACACTGTGGTACACACACACACACATTGTGGTACACACACACACTGTAGTACACACACACTATGGTACACACACACTGTGGTACACACACACACACACTGTGGTACACACACACACTGTGGTACACACACACACTGTGGTACACACACACTGTGGTACACACACACTGTGGTACACACACTGTGGTACACACACACTGTGGTACACACACACACACACTGTGGTACACACACATACATTGTGGTACACACACACACACACTGTAGTACACACACACACTGTGGTACACACACACACTGTGGTACACACACACACTGTGGTACACACACACATTGTGGTACACACACTGTGGTACACACACACACTGTGGTACACACACATTGTGGTACACACACACTGTGGTACACACACACACACACTGTGGTACACACACACACTGTGGTACACACACACTGTGGTACACACACACACACTGTGGTACACACACACACACTGTGGTACACACACTGTGGTACACACACACACACATTGTGGTACACACACACACTGTGGTACACACACACTATGGTACACACACACTATGGTACACACACACACACTGTGGTACACACACACACACTGTGGTACACACACACACTGTGGTACACACACACACTGTGGTACACACACACTGTGGTACACACACACTGTGGTACACACACACTGTGGTACACACACACACACACTGTGGTACACACACACACACACACTGTGGTACACACACATACATTGTGGTACACACACACACTGTAGTACACACACACACTGTGGTACACACACACACTGTGGTACACACACACTGGTACACACACACACTGTGGTACACACACTCACTGTGGTACACACACACATTGTGGTACACACACATTGTGGTACACACACACTGTGGTACACACACAGACACACTGTGGTACACACACACACTGTGGTACACACACACGCACTGTGGTACACACACACTGTGGTACACACACTGTGGTACACACACACACACATTGTGGTACACACACACACTGTAGTACACACACACTATGGTACACACACACACTGTGGTACACACACACTGTGGTACACACACACTGTGGTACACACACACTGTGGTACATACACACACACACTGTGGTACACACACACTGTGGTACACACACACTGTGGTACATACACACACACACTGTGGTACACACACACACACACTGTGGTACACACACACACACACTGTGGTACACACACATACATTGTGGTACACACACACACACTGTAGTACACACACACACTGTGGTACACACACACTGTGGTACACACACACTGTGGTACACACACACTGTGGTACACACACAGTGTAGTACACACACACACACACTGGTACACACTGTGGTACACACACACTAGTACACACACACTGTGGTACACACACACTAGTACACACACACTGTGGTACACACACTGTAGTACACACACACTGTAGCACACACACACTGTAGTACACACACACTCTAGTACACACATACACACTGTAGTACACACACACTAGTACACACACACTGTAGTACACACACACACTGGTACACACACACACACACTGTGGTACACACACACACACTGTGGTACACACACACACTGTAGTACACACACTGTAGTACACACACTGTGGTACACACACAGTGTAGTACACACACACACTGTGGTACACACACACTGTGGTACACACACACACACACACTGTAGTACACACACACACTGTGGTACACACACACACTGGTACACACACTCACTGTGGTACACACACACATTGTGGTACACACACACACACTGTGGTACACACACACACTGTGGTACACACACATTGTGGTACACACACACTGTGGTACACACACACACTGTGGTACACACACACTGTGGTACACACACACACTGTGGTACACACACACACACTGTGGTACACACACACTGTGGTACACACACTGTGGTACACACACACACACATTGTGGTACACACACACACTGTAGTACACACACACTATGGTACACACACACACACTGTGGTACACACACACACACTGTGGTACACACACACACACTGTGGTACACACACACACACATTGTGGTACACACACACTGTGGTACACACACACACACTGTGGTACACACACACACTGTGGTACACACACACACTGTGGTACACACACACACACTGTGGTACACACACACTGTGGTACACACACTGTGGTACACACACACACATTGTGGTACACACACACACTGTAGTACACACACACTATGGTACACACACACACTGTGGTACACACACACACTGTGGTACACACACACACTGTGGTACACACACACTGTGGTACACACACACTGTGGTACACACACACTGTGGTACACACACACACACACACTGTGGTACACACACACACACACACTGTGGTACACACACATACATTGTGGTACACACACACACACACTGTAGTACACACACACACTGTGGTACACACACACTGTGGTACACACACACTGTGGTACACACACACACACTGGTACACACTGTGGTACACACACACTAGTACACACACACTGTGGTACACACACTGTAGTACACACACACTGTAGTACACACACACTCTAGTACACACATACACACTGTAGTACACACACACTAGTACACACACACTGTAGTACACACACACACTGTGGTACACACACACACTGTAGTACACACACACACGGGGTACACACACACACTGTAGTACACACACACTGGTACACACACTGTAGTACACACACACACTGTAGTACACACACACACTGTAGTACACACACACACTGTGGTACACACACACTGCGGTACACACACACTGTATTGTACACACACACTGTATTGTACACACTGTGGTACACACACTGTAGTACACAAACGCACTGTGGTACACACACACTGTAGTACACACACACTGTAGTACACACACTGTGGTACACACACACACACACTGTGGTACACACAGACACTGTAGTACACACAGACACTGTAGTACACACACTGTAGTACACACACACTGTAGTAAGAACCAAAGAAGATACACACACACTGTAGTACACACACACTGTGGTACACACACACACACTTTAGTACACACACACACTGTAGTACACACACTGTAGTACACACACACACACACACTGTGGTACACACACACACTTTAGTACACACACACTTTAGTACACACACACACTGTAGTGCACACACACACGGGGTACACACACACACTGTAGTACACACACACACACACTGTGGTACACACACACACTGTAGTACACACACACTGTATTGTACACACACACTGTAGTACACACACTGTAGTACACACACACACACTGTATTGTACACACACACTGTAGTACACACACTGTAGTACACACACACACACTGTGGTACACACACACACTTTGGTACACACACACACTGTGGTACACACACACTGTGGTACACACACTGTGGTACACACACACACACATTGTGGTACGCACACACACTGTAGTACACACACACTATGGTACACACACACACTGTGGTACACACACACACACTGTGGTACACACACACTGTGGTACACACACACTGTGGTACACACACACTGTGGTACACACACACTGTGGTACACACACACTGTGGTACACACACTGTGGTACACACACACACTGTGGTACACACACACACTGTGGTACACACACATACACACTGTGGTACACACACACACACACTGTGGTACACACACACACTGTGGTACACACACACACTGTGGTACACACACACACACTGTGGTACACACACACACACTGTGGTACACACACACTGTGGTACACACACTGTGGTACACACACACACACATTGTGGTACACACACACACTGTAGTACACACACACTATGGTACACACACACTGTGGTACACACACACACACACTGTGGTACACACACACACTGTGGTACACACACACACTGTGGTACACACACACTGTGGTACACACACACTGTGGTACACACACTGTGGTACACACACACTGTGGTACACACACACACACACTGTGGTACACACACATACATTGTGGTACACACACACACACACTGTAGTACACACACACACTGTGGTACACACACACACTGTGGTACACACACACACTGTGGTACACACACACATTGTGGTACACACACTGTGGTACACACACACACTGTGGTACACACACATTGTGGTACACACACACTGTGGTACACACACACACACACTGTGGTACACACACACACTGTGGTACACACACACTGTGGTACACACACACACACTGTGGTACACACACACACACTGTGGTACACACACTGTGGTACACACACACACACATTGTGGTACACACACACACTGTAGTACACACACACTATGGTACACACACACACTGTGGTACACACACACACTGTGGTACACACACACACACTGTGGTACACACACACACTGTGGTACACACACACACTGTGGTACACACACACATTGTGGTACACACACATTGTGGTACACACACAGACACACTGTGGTACACACACACACTGTGGTACACACACACGCACTGTGGTACACACACACTGTGGTACACACACACACACACACTGTGGTACACACACACACACACACTGTGGTACACACACATACATTGTGGTACACACACACACTGTAGTACACACACACACTGTGGTACACACACACACTGTGGTACACACACACTGGTACACACACACACTGTGGTACACACACTCACTGTGGTACACACACACATTGTGGTACACACACATTGTGGTACACACACACTGTGGTACACACACAGACACACTGTGGTACACACACACACTGTGGTACACACACACGCACTGTGGTACACACACACTGTGGTACACACACTGTGGTACACACACACACACATTGTGGTACACACACACACTGTAGTACACACACACTATGGTACACACACACACTGTGGTACACACACACTGTGGTACACACACACTGTGGTACACACACACTGTGGTACATACACACACACACTGTGGTACATACACACACACACTGTGGTACACACACACTGTGGTACATACACACACACACTGTGGTACACACACACACACACTGTGGTACACACACACACACACTGTGGTACACACACATACATTGTGGTACACACACACACACTGTAGTACACACACACACTGTGGTACACACACACACTGTGGTACACACACACTGGTACACACACACTGTGGTACACACACAGTGTAGTACACACACACACACACTGGTACACACTGTGGTACACACACACTAGTACACACACACTGTGGTACACACACACTAGTACACACACACTGTGGTACACACACTGTAGTACACACACACTGTAGCACACACACACTGTAGTACACACACACTCTAGTACACACATACACACTGTAGTACACACACACTAGTACACACACACTGTGGTACACACACACACTGTGGTACACACACACACACTGTGGTACACACACACTGTGGTACACACACTGTGGTACACACACACACATTGTGGTACACACACACACTGTAGTACACACACACTATGGTACACACACACACTGTGGTACACACACACACTGTGGTACACACACACACTGTGGTACACACACACTGTGGTACACACACACTGTGGTACACACACACTGTGGTACACACACACACACACACTGTGGTACACACACACACACACACTGTGGTACACACACATACATTGTGGTACACACACACACACACTGTAGTACACACACACACTGTGGTACACACACACTGTGGTACACACACACTGTGGTACACACACACTGTGGTACACACACACACACACTGGTACACACTGTGGTACACACACACTAGTACACACACACTGTGGTACACACACTGTAGTACACACACACTGTAGTACACACACACTCTAGTACACACATACACACTGTAGTACACACACACTAGTACACACACACTGTAGTACACACACACACTGTGGTACACACACACACTGTAGTACACACACACACGGGGTACACACACACACTGTAGTACACACACACTGGTACACACACTGTAGTACACACACACACTGTAGTACACACACACACTGTAGTACACACACACACTGTGGTACACACACACTGCGGTACACACACACTGTATTGTACACACACACTGTATTGTACACACTGTGGTACACACACTGTAGTACACAAACGCACTGTGGTACACACACACTGTAGTACACACACACTGTAGTACACACACTGTGGTACACACACACACACACTGTGGTACACACAGACACTGTAGTACACACAGACACTGTAGTACACACACTGTAGTACACACACACTGTAGTAAGAACCAAAGAAGATACACACACACTGTAGTACACACACACTGTGGTACACACACACACACTTTAGTACACACACACACTGTAGTACACACACTGTAGTACACACACACACACACTGTGGTACACACACACACTTTAGTACACACACACTTTAGTACACACACACACTGTAGTGCACACACACACGGGGTACACACACACACTGTAGTACACACACACACACACTGTGGTACACACACACACTGTAGTACACACACACTGTATTGTACACACACACTGTAGTACACACACTGTAGTACACACACACACACACTGTATTGTACACACACACTGTAGTACACACACTGTAGTACACACACACACACTGTGGTACACACACACACTTTAGTACACACACACACTGTAGTGCACACACTGTGGTACACACACTGTAGTACACACACACACACACTGGTACACACACACACTGTGGTATGATGACTAACTTATCCCTCCTTCCTCTCCCCTCTCTTCCATCTGTCTCCCTCCATGCCTCTCTCCCTCTCTCCCTCCATCCCTCTCTCCCTCCATCCCTCTCTCCCTCTCTCCCTCCATCCCTCTCTCCCTCTCTCCCTCCATCCCTCTCTCTCCTCTCTCTCCCTCCTCTCCCGTCTCTCCCTCTGCCTCCCTCTCTCCCTTCCCCGGCCTCTCCTCTCCCTCCCTCTCTCTCCCTCTCTCTCCCCCCTCTCCCCCCTCTCCCCCCTCTCCAGACCGCTGGCCACCCGGGGGCCGTGGGGGGTTCCGAGGGGCCCCCATGGGAGGCGACCGCGGGGGGTTCAGGGGTCGGGGGATGGACCGCGGCGGGTTCAGAGGTCGCGGCATGGACCGTGGAGGGTTCAGGGGTCGCGGCATGGACCGTGGAGGTCCCCCCAGCAAGATGGACGGAAGGTGAGCGGGGGGGGTGGGGGGGGTGAGGGAGGGCCGCGTAGACTCACCACTACACAGAGAGCCATAGACTCACCACTACACAGACCCATAGACTCACACAGAGACCCATAGACTCACCACTACACAGAGACCCATAGACTCACCACTACACAGAGACCCATAGACTCACTCACACGGAGACCCATAGACTCACTCACACAGAGACCCATAGACTCACCACTACACAGAGACCCATAGACTCACCACTACACAGAGACCCATAGACTCACACAGAGAGCCATAGACTCACCACTACACAGAGACCCATAGACTCACACAGAGAGCCATAGACTCACCACTACACAGAGACCCATAGACTCACCACTACACAGACCCATAGACTCACACAGAGACCCATAGACTCACCACTACACAGACCCATAGACTCACACAGAGACCCATAGACTCACCACTACACAGAGACCCATAGACTCACCACTACACAGAGACCCATAGACTCACCACTACACAGAGACCCATAGACTCACCACTACACAGAGACCCATAGACTCACACAGAGACCCATAGACTCACCACTCACACAGAGAGCCATAGACTCACCACTACACAGAGACCCATAGACTCACCACTACACAGAGACCCATAGACTCACCACTACACACAGAGCCATAGACTCACCACTACACAGAGACCCATAGACTCACCACTACACAGAGACCCATAGACTCACCACTACACAGAGAGCCATAGACTCACCACTACACAGAGACCCATAGACTCACCACTACACAGAGAGCCATAGACTCACCACTACACAGAGAGCCATAGACTCACTCACACAGAGACCCATAGACTCACCACTACACAGAGACCCATAGACTCACCACTACACAGAGACCCATAGACTCACCACTACACAGAGACCCATAGACTCACCACTACACAGAGACCCATAGACTCACCACTACACAGAGAGCCATAGACTCACCACTACACAGAGACCCATAGACTCACCACTACACAGAGACCCATAGACTCACCACTACACAGAGACCCATAGACTCACCACTACACAGAGAGCCATAGACTCACCACTACACAGAGACCCATAGACTCATCACACAGAGACCCATAGACTCATCACACCTGGACCCATAGACTCACCACTACACAGAGACCCATAGACTCACCACTACACAGAGACCCATAGACTCACCACTACACAGAGACCCATAGACTCACTCACACAGAGACCCATAGACTCACCACTACACAGAGACCCATAGACTCACCACTACACAGAGACCCATAGACTCACCACTACACAGAGCCCCATAGACTCACACAGAGACCCATAGACTCACCACTACACAGACCCATAGACTCACCACTACACAGAGACCCATAGACTCACACAGAGACCCATAGACTCACTCACACAGAGACCCATAGACTCACTCACACAGAGACCCATAGACTCACCACTACACAGAGAGCCATAGACTCACCACTACACAGAGACCCATAGACTCACCACTACACAGAGAGCCATAGACTCACCACTACACAGAGAGCCATAGACTCACTCACACAGAGACCCATAGACTCACCACTACACAGAGACCCATAGACTCACCACTACACAGAGACCCATAGACTCCATAGACTCACCACTACACACAGAGACCCATAGACTCACTCACACAGAGACCCATAGACTCACCACTACACAGAGAGCCATAGACTCACTCACACAGAGACCCATAGACTCACCACTACACAGAGACCCATAGACTCACCACTACACAGAGACCCATAGACTCACCACTACACAGAGACCCATAGACTCACCACTACACAGAGACCCATAGACTCACCACTACACAGAGAGCCATAGACTCACCACTACACAGAGACCCATAGACTCACCACTACACAGAGACCCATAGACTCACCACTACACAGAGACCCATAGACTCACCACTACACAGAGAGCCATAGACTCACCACTACACAGAGACCCATAGACTCACACAGAGACCCATAGACTCACCACTACACAGAGACCCATAGACTCACCACTACACAGAGACCCATAGACTCACCACTACACAGAGACCCATAGACTCACCACTACACAGAGACCCATAGACTCACCACTACACAGAGACCCATAGACTCACCACTACACAGAGAGCCATAGACTCACACAGAGACCCATAGACTCACCACTACACAGAGACCCATAGACTCACACAGAGACCCATAGACTCACCACTACACAGAGACCCATAGACTCACCACTACACAGAGAGCCATAGACTCACCACTACACAGAGACCCATAGACTCACCACTACACAGAGACCCATAGACTCACCACTACACAGAGACCCATAGACTCACCACTACACAGAGAGCCATAGACTCACACAGAGACCCATAGACTCACCACTACACAGAGACCCATAGACTCACACAGAGAGCCATAGACTCACCACTACACAGAGACCCATAGACTCACCACTACACAGACCCATAGACTCACACAGAGACCCATAGACTCACCACTACACAGAGACCCATAGACTCACCACTACACAGAGACCCATAGACTCACCACTACACAGAGACCCATAGACTCACCACTACACAGAGACCCATAGACTCACCACTACACAGAGACCCATAGACTCACACAGAGACCCATAGACTCACCACTCACACAGAGAGCCATAGACTCACCACTACACAGAGACCCATAGACTCACCACTACACAGAGACCCATAGACTCACCACTACACACAGAGCCATAGACTCACCACTACACAGAGACCCATAGACTCACCACTACACAGAGACCCATAGACTCACCACTACACAGAGAGCCATAGACTCACCACTACACAGAGACCCATAGACTCACCACTACACAGAGAGCCATAGACTCACCACTACACAGAGAGCCATAGACTCACTCACACAGAGACCCATAGACTCACCACTACACAGAGACCCATAGACTCAACACTACACAGAGACCCATAGACTCACCACTACACAGAGACCCATAGACTCACCACTACACAGAGACCCATAGACTCACCACTACACAGAGAGCCATAGACTCACCACTACACAGAGACCCATAGACTCACCACTACACAGAGACCCATAGACTCACCACTACACAGAGACCCATAGACTCACCACTACACAGAGAGCCATAGACTCACCACTACACAGAGACCCATAGACTCATCACACAGAGACCCATAGACTCATCACACCTGGACCCATAGACTCACCACTACACAGAGACCCATAGACTCACCACTACACAGAGACCCATAGACTCACCACTACACAGAGACCCATAGACTCACTCACACAGAGACCCATAGACTCACCACTACACAGAGACCCATAGACTCACCACTACACAGAGACCCATAGACTCACACAGAGACCCATAGACTCACCACTACACAGACCCATAGACTCACCACTACACAGAGACCCATAGACTCACACAGAGACCCATAGACTCACTCACACAGAGACCCATAGACTCACTCACACAGAGACCCATAGACTCACCACTACACAGAGACCCATAGACTCACCACTACACAGAGAGCCATAGACTCACCACTACACAGAGAGCCATAGACTCACTCACACAGAGACCCATAGACTCACCACTACACAGAGACCCATAGACTCACCACTACACAGAGACCCATAGACTCCATAGACTCACCACTACACACAGAGACCCATAGACTCACTCACACAGAGACCCATAGACTCACCACTACACAGAGAGCCATAGACTCACTCACACAGAGACCCATAGACTCACCACTACACAGAGACCCATAGACTCACCACTACACAGAGACCCATAGACTCACCACTACACAGAGACCCATAGACTCACCACTACACAGAGACCCATAGACTCACCACTACACAGAGAGCCATAGACTCACCACTACACAGAGACCCATAGACTCACCACTACACAGAGACCCATAGACTCACCACTACACAGAGACCCATAGACTCACCACTACACAGAGAGCCATAGACTCACCACTACACAGAGACCCATAGACTCACACAGAGACCCATAGACTCACCACTACACAGAGACCCATAGACTCACCACTACACAGAGAGCCATAGACTCACCACTACACAGAGACCCATAGACTCACCACTACACAGAGACCCATAGACTCACCACTACACAGAGACCCATAGACTCACCACTACACAGAGAGCCATAGACTCACACAGAGACCCATAGACTCACCACTACACAGAGACCCATAGACTCACACAGAGACCCATAGACTCACCACTACACAGAGACCCATAGACTCACCACTACACAGAGAGCCATAGACTCACCACTACACAGAGACCCATAGACTCACCACTACACAGAGACCCATAGACTCACCACTACACAGAGACCCATAGACTCACCACTACACAGAGAGCCATAGACTCACACAGAGACCCATAGACTCACCACTACACAGAGACCCATAGACTCACACAGAGACCCATAGACTCACCACTACACAGAGACCCATAGACTCACCACTACACAGAGACCCATAGACTCACCACTACACAGAGACCCATAGACTCACTCACACAGAGACCCATAGACTCACTCACACAGAGACCCATAGACTCACCACTACACAGAGACCCATAGACTCACCACTACACAGAGACCCATAGACTCACCACTACACAGAGACCCATAGACTCACCACTACACAGAGACCCATAGACTCACACAGAGACCCATAGACTCACCACTACACAGAGACCCATAGACTCACACAGAGACCCATAGACTCACCACTACACAGAGACCCATAGACTCACACAGAGACCCATAGACTCACCACTACACAGAGACCCATAGACTCACAAAGAGACCCATAGACTCACCACTACACAGAGACCCATAGACT